AATGTTGGGCTGTTAAAAAAACCACACGTACAACTTCAGTGAGGTTGAGATAGAATTGCAGTAAAACAAGGTGAGTGGAAAATGAGCAAGTGTGAATAGAATATAAGTTGCACGTAACTGATTGTTTGGGCATATTCAACAAACACAGTTAGATGCACCAGTTAAGGAAAAGTGATTGGAATAGTATGAATAGTTAACTTAGAGGAAGACGTGGGCATAAATCACACGATATGAGGTTATTAAAAAGAATTAAAACCTTTGTGATTTGACTTGAGATGTTTTGACAGAGCAGAGTGGAAAAATGAATCTGCATAGCGAAACCAATAAAAGTATGTAATAAGGTTGTCTAGGGTCGAATATTTTTTAACAGTAAACCTACTTTCTTCCTTCTATTTTGTGTGTTCTCCCCTTTCTATTCAAGAGACATCAACCCAACAATTGTTTTCTATGCGCACCTATTTTTTGGGTAGTTGGGCCAAGCTCTTCATTTTATCACTTAATGATCTCTAAATAGATACACGTACATATATTTACACAAAAAGTTTTACTTCTCATTCATTATATCTCTAGCACAGTCATATCCCATTTTTCCCCCTAAAAGAACCATGCAAATGTGGGTATCTCGTCCATATCCTATCTAAGCAATTGTGTCAAGAAGCAAGTATTTTTGAAGAAGATTATAGAGATATGATTCATTATTCTTCTCGTGCATAGAAGCTCAAGAAATGGATTCCTATTCTTTTCTGGTTGACTCTAACTGTCAATAACATCAAAAGAGATCGCCAACAGAGATAACGAAGATTGACGAAGATTATGACTTAATATCATTATGTATATAATTGTATTTACCATATTTAGGTTGATTACATCTATCATATTTAGATTAATATTATTCCTATATAATGTACGAAATCCCAATGGTAAAATTATTCAGTCAAAAGTTTGTCTGGTATCAGAGCCCGGTAGACTTTTACTGAATCCTCATTTTTTTTTTTTGTCATACCTTGGCCTTTTAGGTGTGTGTTTCTTGTGGTTGTCCACGTTTGACATAATTTTTGTCAATCTTGTGGTGTTCGACGATTCACATAATTTTTGTCAATGTGCAACTCTTTGGTGCATTAAGGAGGATCATCTTTGAGTTTTTGGTCTAGGTTCGGTGGAATTTCTTCCAACTTCAGCATCTTGGCCATTGACATATTGCTGGATTTTTGGTCGGTGAATTAGCCGTTTGAGCTTTTGTTATAACACGAATTATGTGTTCGACTGAGTTTTCTCAACTGATAGAGCTCATTGTATGTGGTCAGCACACTTTGTGAATTTCTTTAGAAAATTCTTCTTAGGGTGTAAGTTCTTTGAAGTGGCTTTGGAGTATTCTTTTAGTGGTTCTTGATTGTTTCTGAACTATTTGTTGTTCTTGAGTCTCTCATCGTCACTATTTTTCGTAGATGGTTGCTGTGATTTGTGTCTCTTCTCCGTCGGCACAAGATTGTCAACATCGCCAATTCATGATTGCAAATTGATGCTTTCACCAGTATCAATTTGAGGGGGGATGTCAATAACATCAAAAGAGATCCCCAACAGAGATAACAGAGATTGACAAAGATTATGACTTAACATCATCATGTATATAATTGTATTTACCATATTTAGGTTGATTACATCTATCATATTTAGATTGATATTATTCCTATATAATGTAAGAAATCCCATTGGTAAAATTATTCATTCAAAATTTTGTCACTAACTTCTAGTTCTTTCTACTCTTTTCATTATTCTCTTCATATATTTAATTTCTAATCTTGTTCAACATCTATTATATCTTTTATCGTGCTTTCCAGCTTTGCTTTGTATGTTTGACAAGCAGAATCCCGTCAAGCTTGAGCTTGCATCACTTAAGGAACTAAGTGGTAGGAACCCGATAACTGTGATTGTGTTGACCATAGTTATCATACCCAACCTGGTCCTAGACTTTGAAAAATCATCGGGTCACTGGATTAGTGGTTCAACGATGGGTTAGTGGTTCGACCGGTGAGTCATTGTTAATCTTATTTTTAATTTTTTAATATTTTTTAATATATTTTTGCTTATGTCACTCTGCTAAAAGCAATTATATATATTTCACTCAAAATAGTAGGTAAGGATTCTACAGGAGCCATAATGGTCATGGTACCAATCTTTCATGCAAGGAAATGGAGGTTCGAATCTCTCCTTACGCAATATTGCTCTGAAGTATGGACCAATTTGATAAAAAATCGGTTCAATATGAACCTGTTCCGATTTTCACTGAAAATCGCTGGTTTAAGGCAGTAATGAACAGATTTGAGCGGTTCTTGACCGGTTCATTTGTAAGTGGACCAATTATTGCTAACCAAACTGGATCATTGTTCGGTTCACCAGTTCCCGGGCTGAACCGTGGAGATTTTTATAACTATGGTGTTGACAGGTACTGATGGCAATGGAAACAGCTGTGTGAGGTCAAAAGTGCAGATCAGATAGCGATAATTTGGATTTGTAAACCTGTACTTGCACGAAACAATTTGCATAATAGAATTGAACTTGTATTGTGTTTTTCTATATTGTACTGAAATGAAAACAGCTATTAAGTACAAAACAAGTTGAGAGAGATTACAAGTTATTGTCGAGCATTTGAGAGGCTCGACTCTCTCCCTCACAATTCTCCATTTTCTGAATGAATCACCCTCCCCAGCCCTTTTTATTGGCACTCAATTTATTCCAGAATATCCCCCCATTTTTACTTCTCAGCAAACTACTTAATGAACTATCTACTGATCTGGTAATGAGAAACAACCCACTGCAACTAAGCTACAGTATCAACGGGGGCTTTCCCTCTCATGACAAAATTTAAAACAAATTGTCACAATCGTACAAAACAAAGTTGAAAGTTTACCATTAGTTATGATGCACAGAGACAAATTCTTCAGATTCTAACCTTAAGCATGTTGTATGCCATGAAAGGGATGATGCAAACTTTATTAAATGAAAGGCTGGCTCAAACTAAAAACATTAACAGAACTTCTAAACTAAATACACATCACAAAATAATTAATTTCCGTATAGGTAATAAACACAAATGCAGACAGCTGCACACCCCTAGAGATATAGAGACGCGTATGTTTAAAATATCTCAAGTTGAAGCTTCAGTTTTTCCTACATCTATTGACACTCTGGTTTCAGCCTTTCGGAGAAATTCGTCTTATTCAGCCACTTAAACACAAATGTTTCAAAGGAAGTACATAAAACCATGAGATTTCAATGATATGATTGCTTGAATAAAGTCAACAAATTCTAAAAACTATTTATAAATCTTTAAAATTGTCGGCAAATGCTCATCCCTGTCTTTGCTTCATCTCAAACGCAAAAACTAAGACTGATAAAAATAAAATAAATAAAATTAAGAGCCAACCATTCCCTATCGATAGCAAGAAACATCAATTGTAACTCAATCGATTAAATCTAGACTGAAAGTATGGAAAATATTGACAGTCCCAACTACCCTCACAAACTCAACTAAAACATTTTTCCCCTTTCCGATACTTTTGCATGAAGCACAGATTACAGGTAGCAAAACCATCATAAAGGAAACACATTACTCTGAATTAAATCTAATAGGTATC